TGAATGACATCAAATGGAGATGGATGGGGAAAAACACTGGTTCTGTGAAAATACCCCCTTTCTCCACTAGTGGCAGCTCATTCAGCTCTGATCTTTACACTCCAGTAAGTTACTTTGCTGTGACTCTTTTAACAAAAAAGAAAAAAAATAAATAAAAAAAACCTTTGCATACCTTATTTGATTGGAGAATTTTAATGTTTTTCATTTATCATGATAAAACCAAGGACAATTTTATAACTTTTTTGTATGTAGCTGTTACATGTAGGGCAATCTGTCTTTAAGTAGAGATAAATTACTGTTAATGAAAAAGAAATAGAAAATTCTATTAGTTTTCCTTTCAAGTCAAGAATCTTGTTTAAATGTACTTCTTTATTTAAAAAACAAACAGGGGGAAAAAAAAAAAAAAAAAACATCATATCCTGTATTGTTTCTTAGTATTAACCTAACAAAGAAGTTGCATTGTTCCAGTTCTACAGATGAGAGAACTAAGGGTCAGAGAGGTTAACCAATGTGTCAAAATTACCCAGCTATAAAGGAGTGAGACACAACCTTTAATATCTTCCTGTACTACTGACTGATTTAAATCTGAACACTGTCAGCAAGACATCTAAAACCCTGTGCAAAGGCCCCCATAACCTGTTCATTTTCCTTTCCCACTCTACAAGTGAGATACATTTGTTGCTGCTTCAATGGATGTCCTACAATTTTAACCCACTCATTCCTCAAAGCAGTTTAAATGCCAAGCGTCTCTCCCACAAAGCTTTCTCTGATACCTCATGAGTCCTCTGACACCTGCATTGAGCACTTATCTCATTCTTTTATTGCAACTGTTGCTTAAAAATAAATGTGTCAGATCACACTTGTTCAAGAACAAAGCCCAAAATATTTATCTTTGTCTGCCACTTGACCTAAGACAACACTCTTCCACATATGGGCTCAAAAGTGTTCTCGAAAAGAAAGACAGAAATGTTCACTTTCCTAGTTAAGAATATATTATGGGCAATACCATAAAAATCCTTACATCTATAGAAGGTATAATAATTGTACTCCTGGGAATTTACACTAAGCCCCTAATTCAACTGAAACAAATAAAAGCAAAATGTCATTAAGGAAATGATTCGTTATTGTACATTAACTTTGTATACTCTTACCTAACCATGAAAAGTGTACTTTTGAAAACTATATAAAAATCCTTGATAGAATATAAAGCAGCAAAAAATAGGAGAAAATACCACAAGCAGATATTATAATAATCATGTAATCATGACCCAAAACATTCATTCATTCAGCAAATATTTATTGAGCAACTTTTTTTTTTTTGAGAGGTTTTTGCTATAGGGCGCATGCGCTTGCCAGACTGACAGAGAGAGAAAGAGAGACAAAAAGTGAGCAATCACCCCCCAGTGGGGATGGCAAAGCCGCAATCCCTTCTCCTCCATTCTCCTCTCGGGATCTTGGGCACGCACGCACACGCACCCGGCGTGAGTTTAAGCCACAGGGTTCGATCCAAGGTGGACAACAGGGGAGTCCAGCGACATAGCCATTATGCTAACCGCTGCTCCCCAGCAAATATTTATTGATTGCTTCATGGATTTACACATCACTGGAGATGACAAGTAATGATGACTTAGTAAAATAAATTGTTTTTTTATTTTTTGGAGAGGTTTTTCACTATAGGGCGCGTGCGCTCGCCAGACAGACAGAGAGAGACATAGGGACAGAAAGCGAGAAATCACCCCCCAGGGGGGATGGTCACGCCGCGATCCCTTCTCCTCCATTCTCCTCTTGGGATCTTGGGCACGCACGCACACGCGCCCAGCGTCAGTTTTAAGCCACCGGATCCGGGACGCGAACCGCAGTCAACTACGTGGGAGTCTAGTGACATAGCCATTACGCTAACTGCTGGTTCCCAGTAAAATATATTGTAACCTACATGGCAATAAGTGTGATGGAGGGGACCAGCTGATGGCATAGTGGTTATGTCACTAGACTCCTACATGGCCAACTGTGGTTTGAGTCCCGGACCCAGTGGCTTAAAACTCACGCCCACTGGGAACCAGCAATTAGTGTAATGGCTATGTCGCTGGACTCCCACGTAGTTGACTGTGGTTCGAGTCCCAGACCCAGTGGCTTAAAACTCACGCTGGGCGTGTGTGTGTGCGTGCCCAAGATCCATCCCGAGAGGAGAATGGAGGAGAAGGGGTTGTGGTGTGGCCATCCCCCCTGGGGGGTGATTTCTAGCTTTCTGTCTGTCTGTCTCTCTCTGTCTGTCTGGCAAGTGCACATGCCCTATAGCAAAAAAACTCTCAAAAACAAAAACAAAAACAAAACTCACGCCCACTGCATGAGCGTGTGTGCACAAAATCCTGAAAGGAGAATGTAGACGGGATTGTGGTGTGGCCATCCCCTTCAGGGGGTGATTTCTCTCTCTCTCTCTCTGGCAAACATATGTGCTCTGTAGCAAAAATCTCTCTCTAAAAAAATTAATTAATTAAAAATAAATAAATAAATAAATAAATAAATAAATAAGGTGATAGAGAAAAAGCAATGTGGGCAAAGGAAACAAGGATGCTAGGTAAAGCCTTCCTGAGAAAAGAGATTAGAGGAAAACCTTAAAACAGTTAAATACTCATTTGAAATATAATAAAAATTAAAAGTTTGGGACCAGCAGTTGACATAATGGCTATGTTGCTGGACTCCCATGTAGTCGACTGTGGTTTGAGTCCCAGACCCGGTGGCTTAAAACTCACGCTGGGTGTGTGTGTGTGCGTGCCCAAGATCCTGAGAGGAGAATGGAGGAGAAGGGATTGAGGCGTGGCCATGTCCCTGGGGGGTGATTTCTTGCTTTCTGTCTCTCTGTCTCTCTCTATCTTTCTGGCAAGTGCACACAACCTATAGCAAAAACCTCACCCCTCAAAAAAAACAATGGTTATGATTGGTTTAGGTAAATATTTTATTTCTTTAAACACTATTTTGTCTTCAAAATCATTACAAAAAATTAATACACTCCAAAGTTCTAAGAGAATAAACATAACAAGTTAAATGAACAAAAAGAATCTCAGCTAGCATTCTGCTTTCCACTTCATTAAATGTATATGTTTTGCCCAAGTTTCAGCACAACTTCTCTAACCTTATTTACCATTATTTCCCAGCACCATCCTCCAAGTCAATTAAGAGACTATGTCAGGCTTCCATTTCCTGCCTTGTTATAGAATTTATCTCCTTTGAAATGTCTACCCTCTGTGCAAATCCTATTCCTTCTTCAAATCTCAACACTTCAAGAAAGCCTCTAAACGTAAGTCACATGGATTGTAGCTGTCACTTATTGTTCCATGTCACTTACTCTTGCCGCATGAAAATGAAAAGGAACCTTCTCAATACGGATAGCGGCAAGGTTAGGATAAGCACTGACTTCCTGGGGAAGGAATAAAGTATGAGAACACAAAGAAGAAGGCATTTCAATTTGCTCCGGGTGAGGTAAGAGACTTAGATAACTTCCAAAAGGTAGATTTGGTCCTAAGTCACGGGAAGAAGGAGAGAAACACCCCGAGCTATGACAGAGGGCCGTGAAAATGCACAGCGGTGAGAGGAATGGTGAGCCAGAGAAGATTTCAAATACAAGCAAACTAGAAGAGGGAATTAGGGGAGCAGACTGCAAGTGGCCTGGTTGACAGTCTAAATCCCTTAGATTAGGGTGGAGGTGACAGGGAGTCACCAAACGCTTTAAACAGGAGTTGTGCACTGATTTTCACTTTTGAAATGATGACTCTGGAGACAAACAGTCTGAGCTGAAATCCAGATCTGATACTTGCTTGCTGTGATCTTGAGTAAGTGACTTAACCTCTTCGTGCCTCAGTTTACTAATCTCTGAAATGTAACATCAAGTACTCCTCACAAGACTGTAACAGACTCAAGTGAGACATTTTATCTACAGGAACCACTACAGGCACTGGCACACAGGAAATCCTCAATGACAGTTATATTTTTATGAACTGCATTTGCTATTCAGTGCCATACACCAAGTACATAATAGATCCTCAATACTTACTAAAAGACTTAGTACATCTTTGTCAATCACATTTTTCTATACGCCCTGGAGAAAGTTTAAAATATTAAACGTCTCCCCATATATACTTAGATTTAACTAATAATAGTTCTTAAGAAAATAACTTTTTAAAAAGGCAATGCGATTTGCAAACGGAAAAGCCTTTTCCCGACAGGTTTTGAAAAGCAGCTGACCCAGAAGTCACTTTGACAGCTCTTTGAAGAGCGATAGTCATTGTGTAACCTTAACTTGTAAGTCACACTCTAAGCCAGAAATAAAAATACAGAGTATCAGTAATGGAATATGGCCCATGGAGATGATGGAAGCAGAGAGCCATTCTCCGATATGGTAGGATTTTAAAAGAAATCGTCCCAGGTAAGAAGTTCGAGGGAATATGATGCTTAAGGAAAAGGGGGGAAAAAAAGTCGCCGTAATATTAACAGTTAAGGAAACTGCCCACTGATCCGCAGCACGAGGAAATGCATGCTGCAAACCGGCCGCCCGGGAAGCTGGACTCACTGGGCCATTGGTGGGACAACTCTGGATTCCTGGGTGGTCGGACCCAGGCGTTTCTTCCACAGTAGCAGGAGGCAAAGGTGCTGGAGGTGGCCTGGCCACAGCGGCCTCCCCCGCGGGGGGGTTTTTTTTTCGGCCCCCCATCCCTGCCCGGGTCTATACTTACCCTCCGGCCCGCGCCGCGGCCGCAGCGCCACGCCGTGCACCGTATTAGGCAATGCCCAGCGAACTGGGCACCCCCCCTCCGCCCCGCTCCATTCAACCCTCCCCCACGGCCACCGCCCGCGCCGCGACCACCTAGCAGCCCTGCCCGCGCGCTCACCCCACGCGCCAGATCCGGTCGCCCCCCAGGCGTGCGTTGGTGCGCGCCAGACCGCGACCCAAGCCCAGAATTTCGGGAGGGCCTGAGAGCGGAGAGGGACCTTCGGGGTGCACGTACCCCGCGGTCATGGCGATGTTGTAGAAGGTGAGCCAGGCGGTCGCCAAGAGGCCGAGGCGTCTCCTCTTGCCAGTGGCCTCCCTCTCCTCGCCGGCCTCCGAGGCGCCGTTGGTGCCGTCCTCCTCGCTGGACGCCATGGTGGCCGCGCACCCCGGGGACGTGGAAAAGAGGGACAGGGGAGTGGGAAGGGGTCCGGCCGAGCGCACAGCTAGGGGGAGGAGCAGGTGCCCCCGGCCGCCCGCCCCGCCCCGCTCTCGCCCCGCCCGCGTCCCTCGGGAACGCGCGCGGACCCCGAGCTTGGGCCGCGGCCTGGGCTCCCGGGCACCGCGTCCCACTAGCTCCTGGCTGCGATTTCCAGGCGGCGCTGATGTTTCCGCTCCCGGGGAAGATCCATCCGTTCTCTAATTGGGCGAACTTCTTCCTAGAGAGTGGTCCCAGGCTCTTGTACCCTGGCGCCGTGCGCCGTGCTGGGACGTTCCATCCGGACAGCCGGGATACACCTGCACTTGGTGTGGCTCTGCCCCACCCAGGCTACTGTAAGGTAATGTCCCGACGAGTGGCTGGATCTTCCTTCCAGATTCGTTCTGAAGAACTTCTGGGAAAGAATCGCCCGCGTCGCCCTGGTCACTTTTTCTGTCCAGTTGGGCAAGTAAGAGGTGAATGCATACAGTAAGATTGCCCCCACTTCCGTGCATTCTACCGGAGCCGGTGTCCTCCGGACACGGATGCCAGGTCAGCGCAGAATGTGGGACGTCGGAGGGGAAGCTCGAGGAAGGAGGACGTGAGGAAATGCGAAAGGAGAAACGTTTAAACAGACATAGGCAAACTCGCCATCAGGCTAACAGTAACTCTTTCTAGCCGGGAAGCTCCTATCCCAATGTTTTCCGCTCTCAATCTTTATCTTTCCCTTCCCCCCTCTCCCCTTAATACGCAAGCTTTCACCTAATAGCTCTTCTCTTTCC